GTGATATTTTAATTCTTGCCTCTTTAGAGCATTTTTTGTTTTGGCTCAAATTATTCCACATCCTAGTCAGAGAAAATAGTAGGAATTTCTAACCCTAAACCAGACAATTGCTTGAGATGGAGGACTACAATCTCTATTCCAGCCTGAGGGCCTAAAAGGAAAAGACTTTTTAATCTTAGCCTGAGAGCATTCTGCTTGGTTTTTCCTTGGTGGTTTGTTGGCTTATAAGGGAAGAGTGACAACCTCTCCACATCAGGGAAAGGCTTTCCAGCCATGACACCTTAACCTAGTAGAGCTAGGCGGGCAGCTGAGAAGCTGGTAGCAGAGAGCGAAGCTCAGTGTTCAGCAGAGATGCCACATCCGTCAAGGTGCCAGTCCAGAGAGAGTAATTCAATAACAAAGACAGTGATGGCCCTTTGGTGCTCAAGCTGTATGTTGTCCCTCTATGTAGGTGTCCTGGCCAGATGTGTTGCCTATACATATGCCTTTCATGTGGGGTACTTACTAACACACTCTCTTTCCCACTGATGACATGTATATTTTACAGTAGGTTTATGGAAAGTTCTTTTTTTAAATAGATTTTTATTGATATCTTTTGTTTTCACATTCCACATATTCCTCCCAGTAATTCCCCTTCCCCCTCCTATAGAGTTATCCCTTATAACAGAGATTTTTTTTTTAAAACAGGAAAAAGAAGGGGAAAAAAAATCAGTAATACCAATCACCACATCCCAAAAATCTAATGTTATATGCAATGTTCCACCTCTGTGGACTTCCACCTCTGCAAAAAAGCAGGAAAGAGATACATTTTCAAATTTCTTTTGGGGACTGTCTAGTCTTTAGATATTTCCAACATTCAGTTTTAATTGTTTTATGGTGGTTGTTTTTCCCATTTACATTGTTGTAGTCATTGGGTATATTTATTTTCCTGGTTCCACTTACTACACTTTGCATAAGTCTTTGCATGTTACTCTGTATTCATGATGTTTACTATTCCTTAACAGCACATTAATATTCCATGACATTCATTTGCCACAATTTGTTTAGTCATTGCCCAGCCAATGGTCATCTACTTGGCTTCCAGTTCTTTCCTACCACTGAAAAGGTGTTTCTGGGGAGAATGTTCTGTTGCTATTTTTCTCCCTCTAGTATTCATTAAATGCCTTTGCTTTGAATTAATCATGTCCTCCAGTTGAATAGAAAAAGGAGAAGAAACCAGTGGGGGTTTGTGAGCTATGCTTTTGAGTAGATGCAGACCCAAAGATTACCTTGAAACTGAGGCAGTTCTTCTTGGGGTGTCATGTGTGAGATCAATATTTCCCAGGTACATAGCAAATATTTGGATATTAACCCATCAACACATACATGAAATCTGTACTATAAACAGGCAAGTATAAAATAATTTAACAGAAATAAAGAAAAAAATTAAACCGTTGAACAACTGAAAGGCTTTCACTTGCCTGGAGCTTAGTGCAACCAGTATAGGAAAAATGTCAACATTTCCCAATTGCTTTATAGATTTAATGGGCAACTTCACAGTGAGGGGTTTCATAGACCTAAAATCAAGTCAGGAAATATCAGACCTAAAAGAGATTTCTGAGGTCAGCTAATCCTACCCTTTCCTTTTTAGATGAGAAAATCTAGGCCTACATAGGTGGAATGATTTATTCAAGGTTAAGAAGGTAGAAATTAACCAAGCCAGAATCTGAACCTAGTTCCACTGATTGAAAAGTATCATGGTGCAGTAGAAGGAGCATTGGACATGAAGTCAGGAGATATCTTGGATTCCCCTCTGACTCTGTCTGTATGTGATTCTCACTTACGGCTATGTGACCCAGGCAAATCAGCTAGTCTCTGAACCTCAGATTCCTCATATGTAAAATGGAGATTTTAGTAGCACCTCCCTCATAGAGTTATTGTGAGACATCAAAGAAATCAAGCAATTAACAAGCACCAACTTATTTTCATTCTATATGTCTTCATTTTTAGATGTGTTTCTTCTTGTTGTTGTTTGTCCTTCTTTCTTGAAGAGGACCATGACATCAGGGAGGTGATGCCACAACAGGCAAGTGAACTGGATTTAAGTGAGGGAGGGCTGTGCACAGTCACCAGCCTCAATTTCTCCTCCAGAGCCTTCTGGGTCCAGCGTGTTGCAGCAAATCATAGAATTGTATTTTCTTATTGTTATCTTATCATTCCATTTCATCTTGTTTGGTTAATTCATTTAGATGTAAATTATAATTGTTAGGTTTGTGTTTTTGTCTCTTTATTTCTTCTGTATTGATTATATCCTCTTCCTCTTTTTAAATCAATACTTCATCCCTGCCATTAATTTTGCCTGAATTAATTTAATCCCACCAGCTCTCCCCCACCTACCTCACCCTTGCTCCTCTTTATCTACCCAAACCCCTAAATTGCTCATTTCTCTTTCTGTACATGTATTTGTTGGTGTAGGTGTGTGTGTATGTATGTAGGTATGTATGTGTGTATGTGTAGGTATGAAGGTATGTATGAATACATGCAGGTATATATGTGTAAATGTAGATGAGTATATATGTATGTATGAGTATGCACGTATGAGTATGTAGGCATGTGTGTATGTAGCTGGGTATGAGTGTATATAGGTGTGTATGCATATGTGTATATGTATATGTGTAGGTATATAGATATGTATGTGTGTATGGAGGTATATATGTATACATGTAGGTAAGTATATATGTATGTAGCTGTGTATGAGTGTGTGTCGGTGTGCACACCTGTGTGTGTGCATGTATGTATATGTGTATATATGCTCATATATGTGTAGGCATTGTATGTGTGTAGGTATGTATGTGTGTCTATGTATATCTATAGGGACATTTGTAGGTATATATGTATGTATTTTTTTTATTTTTGTCTTTTTTTTTAATTGACTAGTAGACAAATCAAAAAGAACTGTTTTGCTTCCTATAGAGGAGAACCAGGGCCATGATGACTAAGGTAAGACCCAGGTATGTATGTAGGTATGCATGCATGCAGACATGTATGTATGTTGTATGTATGCATGTAGGAATGTGTATAGGTATGTGGGCAGGCATGTATGTCTCACTCTTCTTCATCCTTCCCCACCCAGGTAAGTGTGTGCTTCAAAACACTTTTCTCTCTTTTCCTCACCTAGTCTCTTAAATGAGATTCTTGTAAGGTGCTCTTTAAAAAAAAAATAATCATTTATTTGTCTTCTACCTTATTTCTATTCCCTTTTAGTCTGTTCTGAATTCTGTTCTCCCATTCACAGGCTATACTGTCACATCTTTCTTCTTCAGGTCTCTGTGTTCCTTGGGGCCTCAAGCACTATATATCAATTGCAAGTTTTATCCTATTTCTATGTTAGTACACGTGGAGATTTCACCCCATTCTGCCTTCCAACTTGTTAATTTCATTAAATTTTTTGTTTTGGTGGGGCCTTCTTCTGATGTACCTCACTCCTAAAAATATAAATCCAGAAGAAAGCAATGATTTGTGGGTGGAAATAATTCTCTATCCTGAATCATAAGACTTACTCCTCATCCCCATCTTTCTGCTCAATCAGGGACTTCTCAGAGGACTTGTGCACCTCCCAGGCAGTGGCCCTCTCACACTGGCAATGCCTCTATTCTTTTGGCCCTTGGCTCTGATTGGAGTTATTTCCTGGGACTACCATTGTAGAATGCCTATGTCATCCACATTCCCTTCTAACCCATCTCAGGCCCCTGACTCTCAGGGACTACTTGTTCACCTAATACCTTGCCCTCTTGAGGGTACCTTTCCTCTACCTCCTCTCCCACTTTACCACTTTCTTTTATGTACTGTTTTCTCCTATTAGAATGTAAACTCCTTGAGGACTGATTATATTTTCAGCACTTGGCACTGTGTCTGGCACATAGTAAACTTAATAAATGCTTTATCTAATCTAATCTACTCTTTATCATGTTCATTCCTTCCTCCAAAGCAAGGATATCCTACTATCTGGATCTGGATCCCTATTATTACCATTTTGGCTCCTGGCCACGCTAATGCTAACCCTTGCTTGGAGAAGATGGTCTTTATTTTGCCCCATCTGCACAGATGAAAAAGGCCCCTGTCATTCATCACAGACATATTTAGTTGTGCTGGAGCCAATTTGAACCTGCTCAGTAGAGCTAATTATTAAATTTTCAGTGAGAGCATTTATACCTAGGAAATTGGAAAATGCTACAAATCAGGGCTTGGTTTATTGCTTTGTTGATTGTCTAGACTTGGGGCAGCTAGGTGGCTCGGAGGATAGAGCTCCAGCCTTGGAGTCAGAAGAACTTGAGTTCAAATCTGACCCCAGACACCTGACATTTACTTGGTGTGTGACCCGGGGCAAGTCACTTAACTCCAACTGCCTCACCGAAAAGAAAAAAAAAACAGACTTGATTGTCTAGACTTAAGAAAGTGATGGGAAAACACTAATAATGCAGATTAAACTTAAAAGTGTGTGGTGGGTTCATCATTCTTTTCAAAAAACCTCTTGTTAAACATTTACCAGCACACCACTGGATACACTTTCTTACTTCTCACCCATGGGAATGTTCTCTGATGGCACCTTTTCCTCTCCTCTTCCAGTGCTAAACTGACTGTCCACCTCTCCCATTCCTTTTCCTCCTCTCTTATTATGCTGTCCCCTCCCCCACCTCCAGACTTTCCCTTCTTTGTTCACTTCCCAGGATGAAATAAATGAGAGAACACGTTATTATTACTATCATTATCATTATCATCATTATCTCTAGCTCCCCCTTTTCCCGTTGAATGACTCCTCTCTTCTTGCTTGGGTGACTTCTCACTATTATCTCCCTCCACTCAAAAGATACTGATATTCTTTTGAATAAGATAAAATTGAGTTAGGTCACTTGTTACAACCATGTTATGTCAAGAAAGAAGTTGAATAGTAATGAAAAAAGCTACATTCGCATAAACATTTGTAATATTTATAAAGCATATCAATCAAATACATACGTAACCACATGCTATACTGTGGGTGTTCACGTTCACACTTTACTCCAAATTATCAAATGACAGAAAGGATGATGGTCTTTTTGCACTTAGTAGGTCTTTTTGCCTTAGGAGAGGGCAATGGTCTTTTTGCACTTAGTTTTGTTTTGCCAAGTGAAAAGGAGGCAAAGTTTAAAAATATGCATTCGTACAAAACTGAAACAGCCACTGCAAGCCAGCATAGCATTTACTGGAACATAGGGTTTACAAGGAAGCTCAGAGCAATAAAAAGTGAAGTCCGTTTGTTCTTCAGAAATCCACGGTTGTTAAATGTCCAGTGCCTGTGTAAATAGTAATTAAAACATCAACATACATAAAGCCCTGTGTTTAACATATCCTTCCTGTTCATTTATAAAAATCTAGATGAAGACAATGCACTTTCCTGAAGGGTTCAAGTCTCTTACAGAATAATTTTATCTTATGGCCAGGTGTGCCTTATCATGTTCAGTTCTAGAAACCACATATGAGTAAAGACATTGATAAATTTGGGATCATCCAAAGGAGTATGACCAATACATTAAAGGGCCTCAAGGTCATGTTACACAAGGATCAGTCAAATCCATTGGGGATATTTAGCATGGAGAAGATGTAGGGGAGCTGAATATCTGCCTTCAAGTAATAGAAAGGTTGTAACTTGGAAGAGTTTTCTTTTGCTTCATCTAAGCACAGTAAGATTAGAAGAATCACATTTCATTCCAATGTAAAGTAAAACATCCCCTCCAGGGATATTTCCCAACTCACATTTATACTGAGAGGCCAGTCCCCCTGAAGGCCCTGTTACTCTGTGATGTAGGCGTGAGGTTTTAATATCCTCGTTCTTGAGCCCCCCTTACTGTGCTCCCAATGAATAATCAATCAGTTGACTCCATTAGCTTTTAGATAAGGGATTTACTAAAAAGAGCAGTTGATTCAGAACATTTCCCCCCCCCCTCCCCCGCCACTGCCAAAGCATACTCTATAGCATTCTCTCCCACAAATTCATAAAAATTCCACGAAGGGAGTGGGCATTAACTTAAGTGACACATGTAAATAATACTTGTGGCGAAAGGGTACTTCCCAATTCCTGTCTTTAGAAGCCCTACGTTCCTTTCAGGAAGTCTCATGAAGTTTTCTGCAGAGCAGGACATTTGATGATGGATGAATTCCTCTGCTGCTGAGTTGGGCTGGTTCCTTTCAATGAATGACATGTTTGCTGGGTGGGGGGATGGATTACTAGGCTGAACCACTCTGCTACTGCTGGCCCAGGCTCCTGTGCTGTTGCTGGTACTCTCTCCCCTGCTTATTCTTGAGCTTTGGAGGGAAGAGAAGGTGCCAGCTGTCTCCTTGCAAATCTCTTCACACTTGCAGTGCCCACCAGGCTGCTCCCTAAGCATGCCCAGCTCATAGATGCTACTCAGTCACTTAATAAGGGAGCGAACACAAAGGAGACAGAAGCAGTCATGCACTCACAGCAGCCTTTGGCCCTTCCCCGACCTGGCTCTGGGGAGGCAATTCAGAGCAGTCCTGTCTCCTCAAAATGCAGATTGATGAAGTCATGGGTAGCTCCTTTTGGATACCCTCTCAATTCTAGCTCAGCAGGTTCTGAGTAACCAGTTCTAGCTCCACAGCCAATCAGAAGCCTTTTTATCACCATACAGTGTTGTTGTTCGGTCATTTTCAGTTGTGTCCGACTCTTCATGACCGCATTTTGGGTTTTCTTGGCAAAGACACTGGAGTGGTTCCTTCTCATCACACAGTACCAGCTCCTCATTTACCCCTGACCAGAAACTAGCTCCCCTCAAGTTTCCACACAGTTGCTTGGACAGAAACTGGGCAGAGAATATCTGTACATGCTTCAAGCACCTGACTTTGACCAGCTCACCCATGAAAAAAGAAAAGCTTCCAATAACAAGAGCTATCCAAACAAGTAAAAGGATGCTATAAAAGATAGTGATTCCCCTCTCACTGGAAGTCTCTAAAGGCTGTATCATTATTTGTTGGGAGAGGCTGTAGACACAATACTTATTCAGATATGCTTTGGCTTAGGATCCCTGAAATCGCTACCAACTCTGAAATGCCAAAGTTGCCTGAATCCAAAAGTGGTGTTCTTTAGCTTAAAAGATGTTAACATACAAGATACAACTTAACATAAAGTTATACACTTCTGGAGGAAGTGTATAAGGCAATAAGAATTTCTAAGTCCTAGACTGAAAAAAAGATGATATGATAAAGCCATTACTCTCCTTTACGCTACTGATCCAACCATTTTAGCCTTCATTTTAATTTCAGTGTATTCATCTATAAAAAGTTTTAAACAACAAATATTAACCTTCTTCAATCTTACTCTCTATTTTTCTGAAAATTGAGAACAATAACAGAATTTCACCTACTCATAAAACACTATAACATAGTTAAGTCAGAACCTCAATCTTACCCTCTATTTCTCTGAAAATTGAGTTTAAATTATTCACACTGATGAATTAATATTTTATTTTTAATAAAACAATAACATAATTTTCCTACTTAAGTGAGATATACTATGCTCACCTACTCATAAAACACAACATCATAAATAAGTCAGAACCTTGATCTTACCCTCTATTTCTCTGAAAATTGAATTTTAGTGATTCACACTGATGAATTAACATTTTATTTTCAGCAGAACAATATCAGAATTTTCCTACTTATAGAGATATGTTAAGCTCACATACTCAGAAAGCACTCCATCATAATTAAGTCAGAACTAATATAATGTAATCTTGAACAAAGTTATTTGAAATAACTGAAAAAAGTATGAATGCTTTAAGCTTTTTAAAAACAAGCTACTTACTATATTTCCTAAAATAGTTAAACAGTATGTCTACTTTGAAATAACTTACTGCAGTCTGTCACCATTGGGCTAGCAAAGACAGTCTAATGCTTGGCTTGTGAAATCAGTGTTTGGTAGTAAAGAATAATGAACCAACACTCCTTTTGATTCTATTTATCGTTCTGAGTAGACAGTCTTGTCCATTCACAGCAACCAACGGAGGAGCAAAACGAAAATAAAATCATAAGCAATTAGACATACTGACTTTTGGAGTACACACTTGGCGTTTTCTTCCCTGAGTGATAGCTTTTGTGGGCTGTGTGATACGATGGGATCGAGTATCTGTAGCGATTGCCTTTCTCCTTACAACAAAAAGCGCAGCAGAATATTGTCCCTGCGGCGATGAGGAGCAGCGCTGTCATACAGCCTAGGTAGAGAGCTTCTCCTAGTTCGCGTTTTTGAGCTGTATTCACTACTGGGTTGTAGAAGTCTCTGATGATCCCATTGGCAACCCAGCACACTGGGACCAGAACAACAATGCCTGTGAGAACGAAGAGGACTCCAGCCGTCAGCAAAATAAAACTCTTGGTTTGTTCGTTGTTCCCAGTGCATATGACACATTTCATTCCAAGGATGGCAATCATGAAAGCGAAGAAGGACAGCACAGAGGCTGCACACATCAGTCCCCTGGAGGCCTGCAGGTCTGGAGTGAGAGCCAGCAGGGAGTCATATGTTTTACACTGCATCCTGATGTTGGCATGTCTCATGCAACTCATCCACAGCCCTTCCCAGAGGTTTTCAAAAACCACAATGTTGCTTTCGATGAAGGCAGAAACTCTCCACTGGGGCATGACAGTGACCGCCACTGTCCCCACCATGCCGATGCCTCCTAGTATTAGTCCGGCTATTTGCAGACCGTAGTAAGCCATTTTGTCTGGAAATGTGTATAGCTGTGCCACACCAGGAAAAATTAAGTAAATGAAGCAGGTCAGTAGGCATGCAATACTGAGCAGCTGATGTTTTCTTGTATTAATGTCCTCAGGAACCCAATTTTTTTTTTTTTTCCAGATAGGTTCTGCTCAGCTACTTTCAACTAAGTTAAATCCAGTGTTGGCTGGCTAGGGAACCTTTACAGACTGGAACATGTGAACTCACCAATCCGGTGTGTCTACTTTCTTGTCCAATAAGAAGGGGACAGAGGCACTGGTGTATTTAAATTGCTCATTCTTTGTGCTTCACTTTTTTTTTTTCTAAAAAGGCAAACAGCATGTTTACCCATAGCCACAACCATGAATGTTTGCACAAATCTATAAATCTATCAATCCCTTGTAGAAAGGAGTACACCTCTTATAGGTGATGGTGAAACTTCTAGAACTGTGAATTAATGAAGGCCATCCAACAGTTAGAACCTGCATCTTGGGCCCAAGCCTGAAGTGGACCTTTTACTCACTTCAGGTACTCTTTCATTCTGGACCCACACAATCTGGATTAGATTTAGTCCTGTGGAAGTCTGGACTTGTTAAAACCCTCGGACTCCTTTTCTCACACTCTTTGGCTCATTACACACCCACTCTATTGCTGGGGGGAGGGGGGGGGGGGGAATTACTCAAAGCTCAGGTTTGGCCCGAGTCTGTTGTTGTTATTCAGTCCGGTCTGATTCTTCATGACCCCATTCAGAGTTTTCTTGGCAAAGACACTGGAGCAGTTTGCCATTTCCTTCTTCAGCTCATTTTACAGATGAGGAAACTGAGGCAAACAGGGTGAAGTGATTTGCCCAGGGTCACACAGTAAGTATCTGAGGTCACATTTGAACTCAGGTCTTCCTGACTCCAGACACAGCACTCTATCCACTGAGCCATCTAGCCACACTATTGGCCTATGCCTAGGATCTCATTATAGGAAGGAGTAGAAAGATATGCAATGTATGATGTAAATCTAGCATTGTAGGGTGGAGTGGGGAGGGAGGAAGGGAATAAGCATTTATATAGCACCTACTATGGGCCCGGCACTGTGCTAAACACTCTACGAATGTCATATCATTTGAGCTTCACAATAACCCCAGTATGGGATAGGTATTCATTAAAATACATAAAACCTACAAGCATGTACTGACAGAAAGACACAAAACAGGATTCAATAACCGAGAACTACTGTTATGAAATGTAAGTTCCTCGGGAGCAGGGATTGTTTTATTCAAATTTCTATCCCTAGGGTCCAGCATAGTACTGGGCACATGGTTGCAGTTTAATAAATACTTGTTGATTGATGGATTGCTATACTAAGTACACATTGTCAGAAAAAAGTATGCAAATTAACAAACAATAGCTTAGTAAAATAAATAGTAGTAGTAACTACTGTTATGCTCTCCAGGAGATTAAGACTTAAACTTCTGAATCCGAGTGTGTTGGACGACTGAGAAGCCATAACACATTTCTTCTCACTTCTGCACTCATTGGCTAAAAAGGGACGCTTTGTCATTCCCAAGGTGCTTGAGTCCTTCCCAAAACCACGGACAGGCAGCAGGAAGCTGCTGAGAGATTCACAATCCCAAAGTAGCTAAAAGGTGTAGTAAAAACCCCAGTTGGCTGAAAGAAGGCAAAGCAGCCCTTCCCTGTCCTGTTCCACCTACAATAAAATATTTACTTTAGGCATCTGCTTGGACTGAAGAGTGCCAAAGTGAAAGGAGAGAAGGGGACAGACATGTCACTTTTACCTGTGAAACAACATTCTTTGAGATTCATTTTGATTCAAGGGATTGATACAATTTGACTGCAACTTCAAAGCAAGCACTATCTGACGTAAAATTGAGGAATGGATAATGCAAAAAAGAAAAAAGAGATAAAACAAAAACAAAAAGCAAAGTTGGCTTCAGCATATACAGAACAAGTGTGGTTGCCCAGCACCTTAAGCTAAGGCCTCTTCTTTCCTAACCCTTAAGGGCTAATGCTCTTCTTCTCTAACTACCTTACGTATTTTTTAAAAAATCGATTCTCTGTTTACTTATCCTAGATATTCTTTCACGTGAACATGTCTCCTCCAATAGAAAACAATCTTAGTATAAGGACCATCTTATTCTTTGTATTTGCACCTTTAGGGCCTAGCACAGTGATTGGTACATAGTACTTAATAAAAGCTTGTGATTGAATGATTCTTTCCTCTGATTGATTGATTCATTCTTTCCTCCCAACCATGAATAGAATGCATGTACCTGGAATTCTCTTTAGGCAAATTGGATATACTATAATGTGGACTTAACAAAAAGATAAATTAGGATTACTTGGAATAGAACTATGAATTGATATGTGATAAATTCATTTATAAGGAACATGTCAGGATAGCTAGATGGCACAGTGGATAGAGCAATGTCCCTGGATTCAGGAAGACCTGAGTTCAAATGTGGCCTCAGACACTTGACACTTACTAGCTGTACGACCCTGGGCAAGTCACTTTACCCCATTGCCTCACAGTAATAAAAAAAAAAAAGGAGCATGTCAAAGAACACATGGATTGCATGAAGCAATTTTTAGATAAATGGAAAGGGGGAGGGGAAATACACTGCTCAGTGAGCGTGTGGCAAATCAGTTAAAATTTATCATCAGGTACATCAGGGACGAGCTAGAGCCAGCTCCTCTGGGCTTGTTAAATTTTCAGTGTAAACATTTATATCTCAGAAGTTGGCGAACAAAACAAAGTGAGACTTGACTTATTGTCTTATTGGCTGGCCTAGGTTTGAGAAACTTACTAATGTTAAAGTTAATAATGCAGATATGTCATACATTCATTTTCCCCCCAGAGAACTGTTTTTTAAACATCTACCAGCACACCCCTGGGTCTATTCCTAAGATTTTTTTTGTTTTGTAGAGGCAATTGGGGTTAAGTGACTTGCCTAGGGTCACATAGCTAGTAAGTGTCAAGTGTCTGAGGACAGATTTGAACTCAGGACCTCCTGACTCCAAGGCTGGAGCTCTATCCACTGCGCCACCCAGTTGTCCCTATTCCTAAGATTTTGTAGTCAAGTTTGGGGTAATGTGTTTACATCGTAGAGAGTTGGGGAGAGGGAATAGGGATGTCCATGTTACCTAGGAGATCGAGTGTATGTGGTTGCTAGTGATTGCAGATTGGTGGTAGTAGGAGAAAGAAAAGAAACACTTGAGGTGGGGCTACAGCTTTAGAAACTTGTTGTTCGTCCTTTGAGGAGGAGGGTGATATCTTGACTTGCAGTGAACCGGATTTAAGGGAGACAGAGCTGTGCAAAGTCATCAGCCTCACTTTCTTCTCCAGAGTCATTGGAGTCCAATGGTAAGACATAGGTCAAAATGACTGGCAATGGCCCTGGATTCAGTGGGACACCTTGGTCTTTCTAAGCTGAGGTCCTTCCCAGGACTCAGGTTGTCTCAGACAACACTCAGTCAGTGGTTAAAAGCTAGGGAAGAATGAGGCAAAAGAGGGCCTAGTTTGCCTTCAATCTGGGAGAGGAGACCCTCAGGGTTTGGTCAGAACAAAAACAGTTACTATTTACACTCATTGCTTTAGAAACTGTTCCTTTGGGGATTAGGAGGGCTGGAAGGGAGAGGAAATATATTTAATTTTAAAAACTAAATTTTAAAGAAACTATTACTATCTTCTTAGAGTTGTTTCTCTACATTGATCCTATTTTCCAGGATCCAGAAAACCTCAGCATCCAGAGCCTCGCCACATTGGGGCCAGACATAATGTGGACAATAGACTGGTTTTAGCACAACTCTAACCCAGAAGTCCTGAGCTCTCAGCTACTCTCAGGTGCAGGGATGCCCAGTCAGGACATGTCCTTAGCTGCTGTGTCCTCAATTACCACATTCCTGGGGTAGGAGAAAGACATCAGCTCCTGTTTTTACTTTCTAGAAAGAAGCTCCAAGGGTCCTGACTTTGCAGATGGGGAAAGAGCAAAAGGACAGAATCTTCTGAGATCTATTGAGTTCGCTGTCCCTGGCATAGTGACTAATCCTGTGTGGTACAGCTTTGATTCTGGGCTGTCGTGCCCCTCCCCCCTTCAGCCATCATTGGGTGGAGGACCAAGGGACCACCAGGGGCTTGTTGCATCATCATATCATCGCAGAGTGCCCAAATCATTCAGCATTGCCATATATATGGCACTTGGAGGTTTGCAACGGTCTTCACGTATTTCATTTGATTTGATCCTTAAAGCAATCCTGAGGGTGGTGTTCTTCTTATCCCCATTTTATAGATGAGAAAACTGAGTCTGAGAGAAGTAAAGTTACTTTAACTATTAAGAGCCTGAGGCAGAATTTGAACTCAGATCTTTCTGATTCTATATCTACTCCACACCTGGCTCTCACCTACTATCAAAAACTACTCAACTAGAAAATAGGTTGAGGGGAAATAATTTAAGAATCGCTGGACTGCCTCAAAACCATAACCAAGAAATAAAATCTGAATATTGTATTTCAAGAAATCATAAAAGAAAACTGTCCAGATCCATTTGAACCAGAAGGCATAGTGAAAATAGAATCCACTGGTCATCTCCTGAAAGAAACCCCAAATTTAAAACCTAGACAGGTCAAAACCAAAATTGAGGGCTTCCAGTTCAGAGAAGACATATCATCAGCAGTCAGAGAATCTACTCTGTGGGCTGTAGGCCTTCCTCCCATTTTATTTGGTGGATAGCCCAAGAATCCCAGTATATTACTGGGACTATTTATCTGTTGTCTCACATTCCCATTACGTGACAAACTTATCATAGGAGGTCAATAATTCATAAAACACTCTGGAGATGAGTACACTGTTAAATTTTTGTCAGATTTCAATGAAAATAATCTGTTTCATTTATTTATATTTTTGTGCCTTTGCAACATAAGTAATGTTGGGAGAGATTGTTAATAATCTCTACCTGCCTACCTGATACATTGTAGGATCTCCCATGATATATGGATGGCCAAGGAAGACAATTGGAGCCCATGGGTCCTTTAAGATGAGCCATTGTTCAATACGACTTTTTATTAAAGTTAAGGAGGAAAATTATGTTGTTGTTTAGTCATTCAGTTTGTGGCCAACTCCTTGTGACCCCATGGACCTTGGTATGTGAGGCCCTTCTGTCCTCCATCATCTCCTAAAGT